ACCGAAAATTGATGTACCGTTTTCTCGCATTGCCATGGACTTAGTGGAACCGCTGGTGAAGTCTGCCAGGGGACATCAGTATATTCTTCTGATCTTTGACTATGCAACCAGGTACCCGGAGGCCATTCCCTTGAGGAACATGACAACGAGAGTGATTGCACAGGAGCTGCTTCACCTGTTCAGCCGAGTTGGGATTCCTAAACAGATGCTAACAAACCAAGGCACTCCCTTCATGTCCAAGATAATGAAGGATCTCTGCAGGCTCTTCAAGGTAAAGCAGCTTCGTACATCTGTCTACCATCCTCAGACAGACGAATTGGTAGAACGCTTTAACAAGACGTTGAAATCCATGTTAAAGAAGGTTGTTGACAAGGATGGTCGTAACTGGGACCAGCTTCTGCCCTATGTCCTGTTTTCAATCAGGGAAGTTCCACAGGCTTCAACCGGTTTCTCCCCCTTCGAGCTGCTGTATGGCCGACAGCCCAGAGGACTTCTCGACATCGCGAAGGAAGCCTGGGAGGAGCAACCGAGCCCCCATTGGAGCCTGATTGAGCATGTAGAGACGATGCAGACGCATATGAAAGATGTTTGGCCCATGGTCAGAGAGCACATGGCTCAAGCCCAAGAAGCCCAGAGGAAAGTGTATAACAGAGGTGCCCAACCGTGTGAGTTCCTGCCCGGGGATAAAGTGCTTCTCCTGGTCCCCACCACAGAACACAGATTCCTGGCATCGTGGCAAGGTCCCTATGAAGTGGCAGAAAAGGTGGGACCAGTCAACTACAAGGTACGCCAACCTGGCCGTCGCAAACCATCCCAAATATACCATGTTAATATGTTAACCTGTTAAACCCTGAGCCTGTTTTTCAGGTCTCAGGCTCGAAAATGACATTCCCAGAACAAATGACCATATCTTCCCTTCTAAAAGGGTTAAATTAATAATCTTTTTTCTCAAAGTAATGATAAACCTGTGAGTTGGATGTAGAAAAGTCAGAATCAATATAGATGTTTTTTATTTAAAAAAAAAATTCAGATTGAACATGGTAAAAAACTGTAAATTATAGTGTCCGTCCAAAACATATTTTGTACTTATAGTGAAAACTAACCTTGGATGATGAGTTAGTAGACTAAAGGCTTTAGGAATCCAAAGTACAACATATAATAAGTACCCTGTATCAAGATTGATGCAAAACAAGTGATATTTGACCTTTTTAGACAGATTTAGCAAAAAAAACCTCTTCTGGGGCCATTTGGGTGGATTTTCCTTATCTCTGGCCCCCCTTCTTCGATTTTGACATGACATCTTTTTCTGACCGTTAGAGCCAATAGAATCGAAGGGAAATCTCCCCGCACACACTCATGTTAAAAAAAAAAGATGGCATCTTTGCGCCCCCAGTTTTGCTCCAGAGTGAAGCTGTCTCTAGGTCTGACATCTCAAAACCGAAAAGCAGATTTATTGCTCATGGATTATCAGAAATCATTCAAAGTGACACAGACACATTGGATTAACCTATGGATTAACTTCAGCATCGTTTTTATCGTTTTAATGCCATTGAAGACCACTTTTGACCAGACTACCACACAGGTGAGCCATTTTGCCGTTTTTAGCTAACTAGCTCCATATGTTTTGATGTGTGCTCCGAGAATTCGTATAATTGAGTGATAATGAGGGTACCCATCAGGGGCGGCGCTAGGGGGTGGCTACTTGGGCTCAAGCCCCGGATGTTTTCTGAAAAGCCCCGGATGTTTCACTTTAAAAAAAACGTCTCGGGAGTAATGTGCAGTACCGGAGTCCACCAGAGAGGCAGCCACTGTGGGACATTAGCCTGCGTACTGCGTAGCCTGCCCTGAAGAAGAAGTGATCCTTCCTAGTGCCTGACGAGTTTTAAGCTAATAGCATATACAGTTATGGATATTAGAAAGTTATTGTCATCGAAGCAGGCCACAAGCTGCAGCAGCAGCAGTATCAGCAGCAGCAGTATCAGCAGCTGACAACAATGTCATCACCAGCAGTCAAGAAATGGATGATGTTTCAGGTTTGTTAATCTAATGGTGATATCTGCACTCTGGCTGACTGAGTAGGAAGTGAAAAAGAGTGATGTAACGTTAATGTTATAGCTAGTAAACATGGAGTAACCACACTAAGTATACCCTTATATGTTAGTATGTATACAGAACATGACTAAAAATTATCCTAAGATGTAACGTTAACCCTTCAATAAAAAAAAAAATTAACGCCACTAATTATTTTAACGCGATTAACGCATGTGTATTTTTTTTGTCCTCAGCCCCGTAGTTTCAGAGCGCATCGAGTTTAAAATACCATCTACAAGCTGATGCTGACAGCCCTGCTCCTGCCGGCCGCTTCCATGCTCACCGGCAGGCCCGGACTGGCCATTGGGAGGACCGGGAGGCCGAGTCCAGCACGGGTCTGATTTTCAAGACCCGCTCCCGCAACGTGCAATACCGAACCCGCCCCGCTACCCACACATATTGCCAATTAGTTCCGCAACCCGACCCGTCGGCACAAGATCTGCAACCCGACCCGAACCCGCATATATATGAGCAGTGAAAACGTGGAATTATTAACACACGCAGTTGCATATTTGTCTCAAAAAGCGTGGGATGTTGGTTATTTTCTCCATCTAGGATGACACCAAAAGCCTCCCAGACGTTGGATTTCGCTCTTGAGGAAGTATTATTGAAAATGCTGTATTCTCCGCTAGAGAGCTTCACCTCAGCCATTTTGAATGTGGCGCGCTCAGCAGCAGATTGACGCTCTGCAGAGGTTATGATTATGTGCGGTCCCGTGGGGGAGAGGTCTGAGGATTTAAACATTAAACTAAATTATTATAATTTTAATATATTTATAATGCAACACCCGCGACCCGACCCGCATCATCTTTGTTTTACCCAGAACCGAACCTGGAAAAAAGCGTTTGAAAAAATACCACTCGCGAATCACATTTTGTGCGGGTCACCCGCAGAGCTCGGGTCTACGGGAGTGCAATGTCCACAGTCACTGTAGACAGTTACGCCTTCTGATTCGACAAAAGTCTACAGTCATTTCCATCCGATTGGAAGTCCACGGTCGTAGGCTGCTTCTCGGGTCGACTATTTTCATTTCCTCGCTCCTCGGTCCTCGGTCCTCGGTCTCACCGGAAGTTGATTTGCCTGCGCCATCTTGAGTACCGTCCCATGGCTCTTATTTCTGCCGGAGGACCGAGGATCGAGGAGCGATAATGGAGGAGCGATAATGGAGGAACCACCAGACCATCCTCCGATGAAATCCTCAGATACTCGCCCCGCCCCCTTACTGTGTATCGCTCACTGATTGGACGATGCAGTGCATGCACTGATCTGATGCTTCTTGACATGAGAGCAGAGTGAAGAAAATACATGAACCTCACGGGAGTCACTCCTCAGTTTATACCGTGTTTTGTTTCAATTCATGTTTCATTTAGTTACAAATATGTGATATATCTGAACAACAAAGTGGTCAAAAATCATTTTATTCATTTGTTGGAAACATTTTCATGATCGCTTTTTTCGTTTTACATTTTCATTTATTGTCATTTCCATTCAGTCAGTCATTAAGTGCTATTAAAATGTTAATGTGCTACATATCCAAACAAACAAACAAACAAACAAAGTGTGCAATCTAATGAATGTTAATCTAACTGGGTTTTGATAGATAACATATCTCTTTTTCTTCTCTCAATTATTTTATTTCTTTTGTGCACTCTAATCAATATTAATCAAACTATTGTTCGTTTATACATTTTATTAATGGCGTTTATCTTTTTTGAGAATGAGTTCTTATTTTATTTTATTTATTGGGATCTACAACAGATGATACAAATGTTTGTGTCAGTAAATAGGCTTGTTTGAGACAAGCGAGACCTGCGCAGTTGCGATCAACATCTTGCTACTGCGTTGCATGATGGTTAGTCATTTTGTCCGACTTGCTCTGGAGGCTCGCCTACATGAGACGTTGAAATCTCGCGGGACAAAGACGCCCGCAGCCTTGAGAGCGAGGCGCGGCGAGGCGGCGCAGTTCCTCTCCACGGGCTGCGGAAGCGAAATGCTTGATGGGAAACGACTCGCTGGTATCTCGAGCTGAGCGCTCATTGGTGGTTTTTACCACGTGCTGGTGATGAAACTCTCCAATTGGCTCGGCAAAAGTTTGTTGTTGTTTTGTGTCAGTTTTACGTCGCCACATCCATTCCCATTTTTCATCATTGTTCCACAATATTTATCATCATGAAATTAATATCCATATATTTTATACTATACTTGCACTGCTTACCGTTTCATACTTTATATCTTAGCATATTCATACACACTGTTCATACTGCTCACAGGCTGCTGTGTATATCTAGTGTATTCATACCCCTCACTGTTTATTCATCATTCAATTCATTCTATATTTTATTCTGTCTATTGTGTACATTACTTTTCACTTTACTGCTTGTTGCACTCCTGGTTGGAAGCTAAACTGCATTTCGTTGTCTCAGTACCTGTAATATGTGCAATAACAATACAGTTGAATCTAATCTTGAGCAAGAACAAATGTATTTACTTAGTATATCTGACATTAACGATTAAACACATGTGTGCATTCTTTATAAATGCAAACCGAGTCAAGCCGACTCCGGAGGTGGCGGTATGCACCTTCAAGTTGTTTGCAATCCGCCAAATAACCGAGAGAAGAAGAAGAAGAAGAAGAAGAAGAAGAAGAAGAAGAAGAAGAAGGCGAAGAAGACTAAGCCGACTCCGAGCTGTCCGACTTCAGGCGAGCTTTTTGAGACCTCCCCCGGCTGCGATCGGCTATTCTCGTCTACTTTCGAGGCGAGCCGCAACGCGTCTCAAACAAGCCTACTGTGTACTAACAGAGGCGGGGGTGTGTGTGGAAATAACGGGGACAGAGCTGGCTGCTGTCAGACGATCAGCTGTGCAGCGTCATCACAAACGCTTCACGTGACGCTCCGGAGGAAAGGACGTCCCATTGCTCTTAAAACTCATTTCCCTGCTTCTCGTGGTTTCCTTGCGTCTCTCCATGCTTCCCTGGTGGGAGGGACTAAACGCAGGGAAACGACGCAAGGATTTCATTTGGTCACTGTACTCGCATGTGATTGGAAGTCTACAGTCGATAAAGTGTTTTGAGTGGGCGGGTTCCCTACGTGATATGATATTCAAATCCCGATTTACGAGTTACGAGAAAGTTTAACCAGCGATCGATCGATTACACATTATATATATATATATATATATATATTATATTTAGTGTCTAGACACTGAGTTTTCACGTCCCCACCCCACCACTTTGCTCGTTTGCTGCGGGCATCGCTGCTAGCGAAGACTTGGGTTGACAGGTACGTTTCATACTTTTCTTTTTCTGTAAAGTATACTTTCCACGACACATACTTTGGCAACATTTCTGTTATCTTTTGTTTTTCATTACTGTATATATACTTGGCAATGACCCGACGGGCCACGGCCATGGTACTGCTAACGGCCGCTAGTTTGGGGACAGCGTCCTTCAGTAAATATATATCAAACTCTCATTTGATATGCTATAACGTTACCCGCTACAGTTTAAGGCACACTTTCTGTCATGATCCGTGTTATCTTGTGTAAAGTATATCATGTCATTACTGTTAAAAGTGATAGGAACCGTGTCCCGTTACCATTGACGCTAGTTAAAGGTTAGCAGCGCTCAATGAAACCTCTGTTAAACTCTAGATTGATATGCTATAACGTTACCCACTAGAGTTTAAGGCTCACTTTCTGTCATTATCTATCTAATCTTGGGTTAACCAGCTCATTACTGCTTGTGTTTACCGTTACATTACTCAACAATTGATAGTACAGTCCGTGTCACGTTATCGCTTTGATCGTTTTAATGATATTAACTTGACGTTATTCATGTCCCTCGACCTTCTATTTTGCATTCAATAACAGAATATCGTGTATAAATACATACATATACCACACATTGATACCTATACTTTACATAATAATAGAAAGTACAAGTATAAACGTGTATTATTTGTGACATGTCTTCTCTACTGTTGATGTGTTTTATACTGCACGTTTATAGCCTATATTATTTGCTGTTTCTTTTATTCAAATGTAATTGTGTCAATACTTTATTGATTATACTTTATTCACCAGACACACACACCCGTTGCCAGATCGTACATTGCCTTCATGCTAGTCTTTCACACGTTTGTTACCAGATTGCCTACCCGGTTCCGACCCTGCCTGTCCCTGACCTGCCTGCTCTGCCTGATCCCTGATCCTGCCTGTCCTTGGACTATCCTGCCTTGCCTGCTCCCTGACCCTGCCTGTACCTACGTTGACCGCCTCACCTGCTCCCTGACCCTCTGCCCGGCCCTGACTCACCTTCTGCCCGCTGTCCTCTGATACTGTTCTGCTGATATCCCTCTGCTCTGGTATTATTACCCATTACCAATACTCCTTGGTTTCTCAAGTGCTGCATTTGGGTCCTTCAATTCAATTCAAAACCTTTATTTATACAGATAAAACCCATTGAGATCATAGACCTCTTTTACAATGGTGACCTGCTTCAATTAGTTCCAAACATTAATACAAACATGACAGAAAACAAAGGACATTATATGATACTACAGTTTGTATACTAGTAGCATTTACAGACACCAATATGTTCTGATTGTATAGCGTCTATCCTAGCTTTAAAAACATGAAATGGAATCAAACTGCTTAGCTTCCATTCCTTTTGTAGACTGTTCCATGCTAGCGGCGCTGTGCATCTAAAAGCTGTATTTCCTAATACAGTCCTAGCAGTTGGCACATGTAATACAACCACAGCTTTAGATCTCAGGCAGTAGCCATTTACAATACGCTGTGAGATCAGGGAACAGATGTAAGACGGAAGTTTCCCTAACATTGCTTTATAAATAAAAAGATACCAGTGATTTAGCCGCCGTACAGTAAGTGAAAGCAACCCTGCCCTTGTATACAGGGTACAATGATGAGTCAAAGTCTTACAGTCTGTCACAAACCTTAGTGCACTATGATAGGCGGCATCTATCTTGGTGAGGTAATTGGCCGGCGCATTCATATAAAATAGATCACCATAGTCCAGCACAGGTAAAAAGGTCACAGTGACTAGCCTTTTCCTGGCCTCAAGAGAGAAACAGGACTTGTTTCTATAAAAAAAACCTAGCCTAACCCTCAGTTTTTTAAGCAGGTTATTTACATGCAGTTTAAAAGAAAGACAATCATCAAGCCAGATACCAAGGTATTTGTAAGAGGTAACCACTTCAAGTTTTTTTCCTTGCATGGTTACAATATCTAAAACAGGCTCTGGTGACTTTTTAGCTTTTGAAAAGAGCATTAACTTGGTTTTATCCACATTTAAAAGAAGCTTAAGCGCTGAGAGCTGAGTCTGAACAGTGTTAAAAACAGCCTGTAATTTAACAACAGCCTCCTTAACTGAGGTACCTGCACAATACATCACAGTATCATCCGCATACAAATGTAAGGTAGCTTCCTCCACATTATCACCCAAACTATTAATATAAATGGAGAATAAAAGTAGACCTAGAACAGAACCCTGAGGTACACCATTAGAAATGCTCAACCACTCAGAAGTGAGCCCATCAAAGTGTACACATTGGGACCTTTCAGAGAGGTAGTTCACAAACCACCCCACTGCAAGGCTGGACAAGCCAATGCTGAGTAGCCTCTGTTTTAAAATGCGATGATCAACGGTGTCAAACGCTTTAGAGAGATCAATAAACAGAAATGCACAACTCTGCTTATTATCTAAAAAACTAGTGATGTCATTTACAACTTTCATTGTGGCAGTGATGGTGCTATGTTTTTTCCTGAAGCCCGACTGATGTTTCGACAGGATATCATTTATACATAAAAAGTCCTTTACTTGCTCACTCACTAGTCGTTCAAGCACTTTAGCCAGAACTGACAATTTCGAGATTGGCCTATAGTTATTTAAAATAGTTGCCTCCCCTCCTTTCAGTAAAGGCAAGACATAAGCAGACTTCCATACTTTAGGAATTGTATTTGTGCTAAGGGAGAGGTTAAAAAGAGAAGTAAGCGGTGGAGCAATAAAATCTACAGCTATCTTTAAAAAGAAAGGTTCTAGGTTGTCCGGGCCAGCCGGTTTCCTAGGATCTAACTTGGATAAAACATCATGGACAACACCAACAGTAAAAGGGGTAAAACTGAAAGGGTTTTCCAGACCACATTGTTCAAGGATTGGAGCGTTCACAGAAGCAGAAGCACAGTCAGTGACAGAATCAAACAGCGAGCCACAAGACACAAAATGCTTATTAAAACAATTGAGCATAGTAGCCCTGTCTGATATAGAGCCAGATTCTGTGGTAAGGCATGGAGGTAGCTCATTTGGAATATCACCAGTGGAAATCGATTTTATGGCTTTCCAAAATTTCCTAGGATTATTCAGATTTTCTGTGGTAACTGACAAATAGAACTTTGATTTAGCACTTTTTATTTGTGATGTGAAGCTATTTCTTAGCTGCCTAAAGCGTAGCCATTCTACATCTGAGCCTGATTTCCTAGCCTTAGCCCAGGCATTGTTTCTCTCATGAAGGAGACTGGACAGTTCAGCGGAAAACCAGGGATTGTCTCGACCCTTCACTCTGAATTTACGCAGAGGTGCATGTTTATCTATAATTTTCATAAAACCAAGATAAAAATAAGACCATGCAGTTTCTACATCCGCACACAGATTGATCTTACCCCAATCAAAATCAAACAGATCGTGTAAAAAACCCTGCTCCACAAAGTGTTTTTTATCTCTCCTTGTGATAATGCGTGGTTTCACTTTTTGGATCTTAGTGTCCCTAATTGTGGCTACAACACAGTGGTCACTCACATCATTAGCAAATACTCCCACAGATGAGTATTTATGTGGCACATTTGTTAAAATGAGATCAATTAAGGAGGATTTATTTGGGGACTTAATGTTTGGGCGAGTAGGACTATCTACAATCTGAGTAATGTTCAAAGAGGTACACAGGTTTTTAAAGTCCTCTGACACAGAAGTTAACCAGTCCCAATTAAAATCACCAAGCAGCACTATTTCCTTGTAGGAAAGTTCAGATAACAGTTTTGCCAGTGAAGATAAGGAGCCCTTGACAGCTGAGGGGGGTCTGTAGCAACCCACCACCATGACCTGTTGACCCTTTGTGACTTCGACATTCACAGCTAAAAATTCCAGTTGTTTACTAACCGATTTGGAAACCATATTTGTTACACAAAACTTATTTTTCACATAAATGGCAACGCCACCACCTTTTTTAGGACGGTCAGTGCGATATACATTGTAACCATTTATGTAAATGTCAGAGGCCAGGATGGATTTGTCAAGCCACGTTTCTGATAAGACAATGACATCAGCATCAGTTGAACTCGCCCAAATACGGACAAAATCTAATTTAGGTAACAGACTACGCACATTTAAATGAATTAAACCTAACCCCGATCTAGAAATAAAATCAGCAGGAGTAGCTATTTGACTAAAAGTACTAGGTGGACCCGGATTTGGCTGTACATTCCCCGATAGCAACAACAATAAAAATACCAAGCACCTTTTCCTCTTAATCAACACACAAACATTGTCAACTGTTTTAGAGTCACCAGAAAACTTCGCGAAAGTGAGATTAGAGTTAAAAAAACAATTCTGAAGGACCATCGTGGCAGGCAAGTGAGAAAGACAGACATTTGACGAGATGAATGTCCGCGACAGTGCAACCAGCAAATGTTTGTGCAACCCATCCGAACCTGTACAGGGGATCAGTGGCGTTTCTAGGTGTACACAACTGGGGGGGCAGAAAGAGGTCGGGGGAGAGAGAGAGAGAGAGGGGGGGGGGGGCAGAGAGAGGGAGGAGAGAGAGGGGGGGGGACAGAGAGAGGGGGGGAGGAGAGAGAGGGGGGGGAGTGTCAAATTACATACTGAAGACCACAGGAGCAACACTGTGAGCGCATACATTTACGTACACAGCGTGGGGATGTCATAGTAATGCACCTTCATACATGGAGTAAAGGTCGCCATCACAAAGTAATTCTTAACAATAACAACAACCGTAATGCTTTAGCATTAAAACACCATAGACTGTAAATATAAGGAAAACACAGACACTCATCATCGAGGTCACAATATCAATCGATCCAGCAGAGGCAAAACACAGAAGATCAACAAAATATATGACATAAATGAACTTACCAAAGCTGAAGGCTCACTTGAAAAGAAAAGCGGCACGGCGGTCCTTCCTCTGACAGAATGTGTCTATCACTTTAGGGATGAAGTCCTGTAGTTGCTGGATCAACTGGCTTTCAATTGAAAGCATGGCCAATGCGTTAAGTCGCGGCTGTCCCATGGTGTTGCGAGTGAAAGTCTTTATCCTTTTGAGGGTGGAAAAGTTCCTCTCTGACTCGGATGTCGTCATCGGAGTTGTCACTATTATTTTGACGAAAATAACAGTCTCAGCAAACGTTTCCTCCAAGTTGTTCTCGTGAATGGATTTCAACAGAGACAGGGCAGTGTTTCCAGTGTGAAGCTCACTGTGGCGGTAGAGCGTGGTCAGCTCAGACTTCAACTTCTCCTTGTTTCCCAACGCAGGCCACAGTTTCACGGCGCAGTCAAGCTCAGGTGTAGGAAATGACAGGACATGCTGTGGGAAGAATGAGCTGTCAACAAGCTTTGCAGCGATCAAATGGTCACTCTGTGAGAACCTCTGTTCCACCTGTGAGATGATGACTGTGTCACAAGCCTCCTTCATCACCGGCGCTGTGCTGCTGACTCGTCGGCCTGGCTCGTCTGTTCCATCATGAGCAGTGGCAGCCAATGCATCAGTTTTCTGCCTCATTTTCTGAACATTTTCCTTGAAACGGCAGAGCGCGCTGTTGATCCCAGGTGCATCGATGCTTCGTTTTTGCAGAGTGTTGTATAGAACATCCACTTCTGGCATAAGCAACGAAAAAAACTCCAGGAGCTTCATAAATGCTCGGTCCCGCAGTTTCTTTGACAGGCCGTATGCCTCACTTATGGTGACCGCATCCCATCCTGGTTGTGCGCGTATATGCTTCATACACTGAAGTAGTGCATCTCGGGTCTCCCAAACCGCGTTCACAGTTCTGCTTTTAAAGTTCCATCTCACAGCCGGTGGCCGTGGGATGCGTCTCTGTGTTGCCTCTGCAAGAGCTGCAACACGTTTTGGAGCACCGGAGAAAAAAGTGGAAAAAGCAGTTAGATCTGCAAAAAACACCTTCAGGATGCTCATCCTTGCTGAACACAGTTGCTGCAGGGTCAGGTTCAGTTGGTGGGCGTTGCAGTGAACAAACTGAGCGTTTGGGTACGTCTCCTTCATCACCGTCTGTACCCCGCGCACGTTACCGCTCATGACGGCCGCCCCGTCATAGGTCTGAGCGATTAGCTTTTCTTTCAGCTTCAGGGGTTCCAGAACAGCCTTGATGCTGTTAGAGAGACCTACACCAGTTTTGTCCTTTACTTCCACAAACTCCAAAAAACGCTCTGTAACTGTGAGGTCAGGCATAATGTATCGCAGCACAATCACCATTTGCGATTTACAGGAGACATCGGTTGTCTCGTCGGCCTGAACGGCAACAAATGATGTGTTGTCCACTTGCTTGGCTATTTCCTCCCTGTACACATCATACATGCAGTCCAAGAGTTCATTCTGTATGGTGCTTGATGTCCCTTTGAAAACAAGCTGAGCTTCGTAGTGCCGTTGAAGCCTGGAATCGCCCTCACACATTGTCTCGAAAATTGACCTGAATATCCCTGGATTCAGAGAGTCCGCCGACTCGTTGTGGCCCCGCAGTGCTGTCTCACATTTCCCACACAGTTTAATACAGGTGATGATCCGACCAAGCACGTACCTGTTTTCTTCCACCTTCCTATTATGAGAATCAATGCCGCGTCTGTAGGCGCTGTCAATCTGAGCTGCAACATTCACCCTTCCAAGTAATCCCAATTTTACGGCATTTTCCAAATGACTGTTGCTGCTCTCATGCTTCATTGTCCTCTCCGAAAGATGCTTTAAGTCCTTGTAACCTGTCCTCGACCAAGTACCTTGATCTTCACCAAAAAGCAGGCAAGGAAAGCAAAAGAGGGAATTCTTCTGGATGCTCGCCGTTAGCCATTTCTTTTTAGCAAACCACTCAGCGTTAAACCCACGTTTAACTTTGCCCGCAGTCTGGACCATTTGGAAATCCGGTGGATGGTGGGCACCGAGGCGCTTTACCTCCAGTTTCTCCCCGAGACTAAGTGTCTCAAATGTGTGCTCCAGTAAATGGTCAACTTCATTCATTTTCTTTCAGTTTTTTACTTCTTTTAATCGCTGGTGATGTTAGCTATATGCTGCTCTCTCGTCTCCTCTTCAAACTACATGTGACGTTTCGCAGCACTGCACACGTGAGTACTTACAGCCAATCAATTCTGAATTATGTGAGATGACGTATGGTGGGGATGGGAGCACTATGCCCCTACGGTCATTATTTTTTTGCCACACACATTAAATAGAAAAATACTCTGAGCATGCGCAGTGTAGTTTTTACAATCACCGTTCACTTAGACTGTGAGAGGGAGGAGCAGGATCGGGTTTTGTCCCACATGGCTCTAAACAGCTCAAAACGGCACTCTAGACACTAATTAGAAGAACACAGACTAAAACAGAAATGTACAGACGAATCAGATTATTAAACATGACCTTAAAATATATTTTATATGTTTTTTTATTTATTTTTTAGTATTTTTTTGTAATCATTATTTGTAATACTTTTTTCTGACACTAGGTGGGGCTGTGCCCCACCTGCCCCTAATGACCCGCCGCCACTGCAGGGGATGTCCACTGCCGGCGACAGAACAGACCCGAATCCAGCAGATTTTTCAAGATGACTACCGATCTTCTCATTGTCCAGCACACGCACAGTCAAAAAAAGGCACAGCAGAAACACGACATTTGCCATTTTCCAGTTCAGCACAACAGCATCCACGAAGTTCCCGAAACAAAACCACGGACAGCAGCAAGGAATAGGCAACCAGCAGTGTGGCAACACTCCGGTTTCTCCGCGATATCCCCCGATCAGGCCTCCGCACCGGCAGAAGCAGAAAACAGCTGTGCAGGACTCCCCAGCGGATGGCGGCCTTCAGCCGCGGGACTCCTCCGTTGCGAAATCTCCTCCACACAGCAGCGACAGGTGTGTATGTCTGGCGCGCGTGTTCAGCCTGTGGCCTCAACGTGTTCAGCCTGTGGCCTCAACGTGTTCAGCCTGTGGCCTCCTTCATAAGATTGTGACAGCTAACATAAGAATTTCCCAATTTGGGATAGTTAAAGTATCTATCTGGTATAAAGCAATGTTAGGGTATCTATTACCTCTTGTAAACTAACATTTTTTGGTATACAAGTTATGTATGTTGATTTTGATTACAGTGAGAAGCAGAGATGACGACACCTGTTGTCCTCCGCATTGTAAATCTCCAAGCTCCAGGGGATCGACAACAGGCTGTTGTGGTGCCTACCAAAGAGGCCCGTTTGTACAGGGAAAAGAGAAAGGCTTTTCCCACACCTCCGGTGGAGCTGCTCAGCAAGGCCACTGCCATGGCCAAAGCGGAGAAGCTCCTTCGAGCCAAAGGGACACATAAGCCCTCACGCCAGCAGTGCCTGGGAAAGCTGGTCTTGCCTTTTGGCCAATATATCCACGCACCCTTTCACTGGCTAGTGGAGAATGACGTGGGCTACATCACATTGTAAGTTTAATACAATTGTTTGCTAAGCGTTTATATAACTTGTGTTTATGGCTATTATAAAAGTGTAGTATTCATCTTTACAAAGTTCCTTTTCTCCTCATCACAATTGCAGTGCTTTTATGACGATGACACTAAATTGATGTTTATTATTGCAGTCTCCTCGATAGGCACAAGGGAGAAGTGGAGGACCCACACTGGAAGGGAGAAGTGGGGAACCGGTGGGTCAAAGACCTTCTGGCCGAATATGCCGAGAGCTTCCCTCAAGTCTCCTGTCTCCTCGAGGCTAATGTGGATAGGTGGATCTACGGCCAAAAGGGCTTTGAGAACAGCACCTTTGCAGAGATGTGGGAACTCTATCGGCAATTCCAAAGCCAAAAGGACAGTCCTGAGAAAAGCAGCGGTGTTCAGAGGGAAAGGGTAGAGTCATAGCACATAGAGCACATAGGTCTGTGAGGAAGTGGTTGCGCCTACCAGTGACAGACATCACCAGCGTGCAGTTAAAGAGGTTCCGCACCTACATAATGGACAAGTACAGTAGTGCTGAACAAGTAAGTGTTTACTTGATTATTCCTGTGTTATCACACAGCAAGAGTTGAAAATCATGGTCACATCATACTGTCATATCAATATTTTGGTCATTAAAAACTGGCATCAAATTAGGATAACATTACATTTGTTTTCACTAACCTCAGACGAGTACGCTGGACTCATCCTCGTGGCCAGGGGATGATGCCGAGCTGGTAGCTGCGAGCCAGGCTGTGGAAGAAGGCAAGTGAGACACAGTTGAAGTTATGAAGGAAAACATGTTCAAAAATAATAATCCTAATTCAAATGTGCTTTGTTTGGTACATTTTTAGATATGATCAAGAAAAGGCCCAAAGCAACCGCTTACCGACCTGGAGGCACTGCTGTCGGGCCCGAAGCTGCTGCTCTCCTTCCTGATGTGTCTGTCCAGCCTGAAACTACTGCCGCGACCCGGCCTGCTGCTGCTGCTGCTGCCGCTGCCGTCGCCGTTTGTGGGAGAACCCTGGTGGCATCCCATCTGCCGACATATCCTGGCTCAAAGAGGACACAGAGAGAGGGCTGTTTACCCCCATACAGACCTACAAGGACATCAAAGGTCAGATCAAGAGGCGACGGGTGATGAAATCTGACCATATGTGGTTTTATCCCCTGGAACCTCCTGGCTTTGTCGGGGGTGGTCTTCCTACTCCACAACTGTTCTTTAGGAGCCGGGTCTTTGTGTGGCGCCCTGTCGGCGTGTGGAGGTACTCGCTGAAGTGTCCGCGGGGAGAAAACTGTGTCGGCAGTGGGAGAAATGTGCACCTCTCCAAGTCTGGCTTCCACTCCAAGGTCTAAATTCTCTGACATTACTATACAGTTGAAAATGTGTTTCTATGTATGAAATGGGCACTGAAAGTTTTATGCTGGCCTTCATTTTGATTTCCATGTGTATTTTATAGGTACGTCTCATCTGCGATGTGTCCGGCTGGTACACAGTGATCACAGAGGTCCTGTCCTGTGGACCCTGTACCAAGGCAGCCAGGAGCAAAGAGGGTGTGTCAGTGACGCCATCCTATCCCAGCTCAGCGAGGCTCACCAAGCCATCTTTCCTGCCGTCCTTACCACCATGTGTGTATTTCACATTCTATACCAAACTATACTATAACATGCTATAATGTGTGCATTTAAAAAAAATGTCACTCAAATTAACCTTACAATATCAATTGTGACTCTACTTACAGGCGTGGCGTAGACAGGAATGTCGTGCGCCTTCTGAGGGACAGGACCGAAGGGAACACTATGGAGAAGGTGTGGCGGCAGGTACAGGAGAACCATGTTGAGGAGTACCTCCATCGCAAGGACCCTCCTAATGAGCATAGCTGCACCCGGAGGGATCGTCTCTGCAATGAGGCAGACATTCCAGGCTCCACCTGCCCAAAAACAGCTCCCCACAGCGCAGCTCTTGCGCCATGCCTTCCTGCTGGCAGAGGCGAACAATGTGCAGGATTACCGGAGCCAGATCCTCTCCACTTTTGGCACGGTGGTGAAGATGGATTCCACCAAGAAAGTATGTAAATCAAAACATAATTCTTTACTGTATGATGCAAATCATATACAATTATCACACAAATGATGATGTTGTTACATATAATTACAATCTATCACAAGTTACCACATTGTGCTTCCTTTAAATAATAATAATAATTCAATTATTTTAAATACATTTCAGGTGGTGAAGCTGTCTGGGCAGGGACGTGGCTCGGCCGAGTGGTTTACCAGCATCGGCAACGAGTACTCCCAGATTGTCACTTTTGTGCTGACTTGTGAGGAGTCTGCACAGAAGCTGCTACCCATGTGCCGTGGAGTCATGGATAGGTTCCGGCTGGCCAATCAACCGGTCCCTAAGATCCTGTACATTGACCGTGGGTGTTGTCGTGCTAAGGGCCCTACCGCCTTGGAGACAATGTTCCAGGAGTGGTTCGACGGTGGTATGGTTGTGTGCCTGGACATCTTTCACTGGATCCACCGGTTTGACGCAGCCATCCGAACAGACGCGCACAGCAAGTACGCCATGTTCAAGTCCGCTCTGGCCGGGGCAGTGTTGGCCTACAACCGCACCGATCTGGAGCTGCTGATCGAGGCCGTCAGAGCCAAGGACCCGGACACATTCAGGTCCGTGTCGGAACAGGATGTCGTCCGCCTGTACGTCACCAGGGATCAGCTGCAACACCACGTGCGGATGGTCACGCTCGGAGCGCAGCAAACGTTCCGGCTCATCCACCTGGCCATCGAGGAGCTGAAGGGCCCGGCTGGGCTGGACCAGAGTGGAGTGAGCCTCTTTAAAACACCTGGTATATACAAGATCTCGTACAAAAACATTATTGCAGCTTCAATACAGATGATGTAGCATATAAAGTGAGAATAACAAACTATATGTATATGTGCCTTTACAGCAGCCATTGATGAGATGTGGGTAGCGCAGCAGAGACACCTGGAGTGCATCCAGGATCCACCAGGGATGATTATGTATAGGGTGGCCCGTACCACAACTATCCACGGTGTGGACCTGCCCTATTATAAAAGTCTGCGTGGAAGCAACAGCCTGGAGGGATTCCACAAGTCTCTGCCTCACAATAATAATAATAAAAAGCACAATTTCAAAAAGCGCATGAACAGGAAAGCAGTTGGAATTAAAAGCAAATTAATCTTCTTGAAATAGAACATGTCAAATAGGAGAACATTAATCATTTCAATTGGCCTATGCATACAAATATGGTACGCTTCAAAATTGTGCTACGTGTTATTCCAGGTTGCAGATAAACATTTCCCAAGCTCAGTAATAACCAAAATATCTAAGCTGATCTTCAGATGTCACACGTTGCCTGCCATCTCTTTTCTTTTTTGTTGCGTCTAATGATGGATTTGGTGTAAACAATAAAACACTAACATTTACACAACAATAAAAGCTTTCCGTGACTCTGTCCTCCTCTTCTCAGGTCCCCATTGTGCAGCACGGCCGTATCAGGTTTACCTGATCAGTGGCATCGCACGGTGGAACTGCGACAGGAGCTCTGATGCCGTGTTTGGTGGCAAGGGACGGCATCACAGGACCTACTCGGCGCCTCTCATCCACCGCCTCAACACCCGCTGTCAGCAGCTGTTCGGAGAGACTGTGGAGGAGAATTTCCGGGCCCCCGCTGAGGTGGATTCCAACGAGCTGCTGGGGTTGGAGTACCTTTTCAGCCAGAGCACTGGTGAATCTGGGCCCTTTTCACTGGAGGACATCATCTACGATGTCCAGATGAGGAGGTAGTTCAGCCCGGGCAGCCCACTCCAGATCCCGAGGCAGACGAGGCGTACCAGAGCGACGGGGAGTCACATTGTGAGGGAGACCATGTGCTGGATGCCATCCTGCCCCACATCACACTCGTCACAGACGAAACCTCCAGTGTCAACCCGCCCGCTTTTGTAAGTTACTTGGTGTCTTCTAGAATAAAATTAAAATGCACTGATTGATGGGCAATGTACCGATTTTAAGTTACCACATTTTCTATGTCATTTCTTTAACAGGAGAATGCCTGCAGTCAAAACCCTCTTCCCGGCTACCCACAGTTGGAGAGGTTCTGCTCACTGCTGGTGGACATTGGGCTCGTAGGTGACAAGCTGTCCCTTTTCACCGAGCAGAGGAACGCGATCCTGGCTGCCTGGACCAAAGTGGAGGACCACGACAAACGGCAGCAGCAGTTCAACGAGTTGTACAGGACGCACTGGGGCAACACCCTGTACTGCCGCACTAAGCGCCACAACCTCATTGATGCTGCTGTCATACAGCGTGTTAAAATGGGCATACGCTATGCACCGGCACAGCAAGACATTAGCGCGCAGAACAATAGGCTGATGTACACGTTGGTCAAACTGCTGTGGCTGAGGTCGCCGCAGGGTTCGCGCATGAGTCCCGAGAAGACCACCGTCTTAAAGGCGTACGAGAGGATCCAGCACCGGGTTTTGGTGGACGACCCGATCCTCTGCAAAGCAGGCTTTCCTCTGCCGAAGATCAACGTCAAGACGGTGCGGGACTTCATCCGGGCTCAAGAGCGCCTCCTCAACCTGCGTGCGACAGATCAGCCGGCAATGCTGTCCAAGACCACTTCGGTTTCCTCTGCCGACTTGCCTCCAGCCCCACACCAGCCAGCAGTCCTCCCTCCACCAGACTACCCCCTGATGCAGTATGTGCCGACACCCAGTACGGCAGGGACAAAATTGTTGAAGGGAAGGAGGGACATGATCCTTTCTCTGTCACACCCTCAGACATCACTGCCGCCACCTGTGTCACTGCCACAGCCACGGTCGGTAAGACCGACCCCAGCCCCCAGACCTTTGCCCTCCCCCTCTCCATCCGCAGCAACCCGGGCGATTGCTGGCCCCTCCACAAGGCCCATCGTGCCTGCTGGACGTCCCATACTGCCTGACACAAGTACCGTCGCCAGACCACCCGTGCCCTCCCTTTTCCCTGGCCCCATCCTGCCGCCTGCCAGTCAGCCAACCCCAGCCATTGCTGGCCCCTCCTCAATGCCTGCCACACGCCTGTGTGGTCTGGGTGCGTCCGTCCCCCCAACAATGACAATGCCTACAGAGTGCAGTCCTGCATCCTGGGCGAGGTCCACGCTATACAAGCGCAAGGCGACAGACGAGCCCTCGGGAGTAGGAGCCAAAGTGTCCCGGGTTCAAAAGCTGCCGTCGTGCACGTGCTGTGGCCAACCCACCCAGGGGCATAACAAGTACAGGCGCAAGGTCTTCTGCCCTGTGAAGATGATGTCTTCTTCAAAGGGTCTGGAGAAGAACACAGTGTACAACAGTTACAAACATTTTACAGCTGTTGTTGACGCTTTGGAGCAATGACCTGTTGCTATGTAAATATTGTAAATAGTCATTTAAATGTTTTTAAACTTGCTGTGTTATCATTTTTATTTTTCATGTTGAGTTTTATATTTATTATGTATATTGTAAATACTTTTCATTTATATATACGTCATTAATGTAAATACTTTTATGTACATTACATTACATGTTACTTAGACGCTTTATCCAAAGCGACTTACATACTCAATAATGTGGGGTGAAGTGTCTTGCCCAGGGACACAACGACATGCTGACGGCAGTGGGGTTTGAACCTGTGCTCCCCTGATCCCAAAACCAACGCACTGCGCCACAGCCTCCCTGTACATAATGGTACATCTGATTTGTATCCACTTCAGCTTTTTTACCTGTGTTTGTTTATTCTGTTGCCATCCTTTATACTGAATCAATGAAGGTGAATGGTTGCTCAGAAAAAATCCTAAAGAATCCAACTGGGTTCAATAGCTGGATCATTCCTGTTCTTCTTCTGCAGTGGAATGAGATCTCGTCGTCGTTGTTGACTTGCATAACAACAAATGTTAATTTACAAGAAGTCATTGATACCCTAACATTTGATTCATACCTGCTGATGACAAATAAATCCAGGGATCTACAAAAGTGAATGTGTTTCATGCATCTGATTTGGATCCACTTGAGCTTTTTTTCCTGTGTTTACCTTACAGTTTATGCTGTTGCCATCATTTATACTGAATCAATTAAATATTTTGCCAGAAAGGTCAAACTTTAGGAATACAGAGCAGTTCTTATCATGCCATAACCATAGCCATGGCAGTGCAAACTAAAATATAATATTGTTGACAAAAAACACAGAGCCATCAGTGCAATTGTTACATTCTAATTGATCTGATATTATAGGCTTTCATTATCTATTTATTATATGTAAATACTTGTATGTACATAACAAAATATGAATTATTAAATGCAATAATGGGGATTCATTTGTTTATCTAAATATAGGGACAAAGGTAGAGTGCCACATTACTTGCACAGTACACAATGTTCAAATGACTTTGCCCAAAAGCAAACACTTAAGTTGCTTGAGTCAGACTCAGAAATATTAAACCACTTTAATCAGACTCTCAAGTCATAAGGAAATCCATAAAGATATCTCACTGAAGAAAAGACACATTTGAATAAAATAAGCTTTATTTCAATGGTCACGAGGACGTCCCGCACAAACATACGTGGACGTACTCAAGAACGACGCAGGAGCACAAAGTACCAATGAACTGGCCAGATGTATGGAGAACCGGGATGACTGGAAGCGATGATGGAGGGCTCGTCTGAGGACGACCTAGAGAGAGAAACAATAAGTACATTAATGAATAAATAATATGAATTCTGTGTGTACAAATATACATATAACACAAAATAAGTCTGTGCCTTTAGAAAGATAGAAGTGACATGTAAATAAATGTCATTAGGGAGAAGAAATAATTCTCACATCTGATTGAAAACTACAGTAATGGGAATAAACAGTAATGGGAATAAATCACAACAATGATATACTTTAATAATAATACAATTAATAATGACAGAAAACAGTAATGCTATCAATTAAATGCAAGGTGCTCTCTTATTAATACATTTGGTGAAAATAGACCTAGTATACTATATCAACTGATTGATTGACGACAACAACATCAAGGTGTTCACATCACACTACGACCACACGAGGGAGCCAATATCCTCATTGACATTCTGTCAATATGTAAATGATCTCAAAGTGTCCCCTCCCATCAAATTTCATTTTTCTTTTCCTAAAGATTCGGTCCAATGGCGTCCCTCGCAATTGCACTCCGGTAAGGCCGATCGCCATTCGCAGGACTCTGCCGGGAGGGTGTGTGTATGTGTGGCGCGAGCGAGAGAGAGAACGTGCACACTTTACATGTATTGTTGTTAGCATCTGGTGCTAGCTAGCTGCGCTAACGGATATAAGGAGCTGTTTCAATGAAAACAGAGGAGCGACATTTCGCCGACAACTGCGCCGAGCACTTGACTTTATGCTGGTAGCCAGACAGTGGGACATTGTACAAAAAGTCAGCACACTCAGCACGGATAGTGTGCGCAACATGATTGCAGCGTCCAGGCAGCTCCCGTTCGAGCATATGCCTTTAGTTGCACATAGCTCCAACGATCCATCACAGTGTCTCTCCGCACACACACGCACTTTGTATTATGTATGAGAGAGGTTCCAGGTTGAATTGAGGCGAATATTTGTAATGTTCAGAGGTTGTTGTGTTTAATATTCATGAGAATATTTGACATTGTTCAAATGATAATAAACAAACATTTGCATAAAGCATATTTGTCCACTCATATGTTGATAAGAGTATTACAAACTTGAAAAATATCCCTCTAAGGTATTTAGAACAGACACATTTTTTTGCGATTAATCGCGATTAACTATGGACAATCATGCGATTACATATTTTAATCGACTGACAGCCCTAATAAATATCTATTAGTGTCAAGAGGGAGTCAAATCCCCTGGTTTGTCTCTATAACTAACTGACATGAGAAACTCAAATAAATTCTCCAAAATCTGTCACCACAGTTGGTCTTAACCCCGTACCAATACAGTATTACATTACACATACATTATTAAATCACAGACTTAGCGACTGAGAACATACATCCTTGGCTTACCTGGTTGAAACACTTTTTGGTGATACGGATTTAGTCGAACAGCAGGCTATTTTCTCCAAGATTTTGGATCTCGCGGGAGAGTGGGGTAAGTTGAGCAATTTTTTAGTTATATCTCACAGGCTCCGCCCTCTACTGGACTCTATGGGTAACGGAGGACCACGTGGACCTCGAGGTGGTGGAGATGGAGGAACAGGATGCGGCTGAGGAGGCACCATTCGTTTTCGCCATCCCGGCGGGCCGGCCGGCTCCGTTCGTCGAGGAGGAAGACGACGAAAGATCCTCGATGTCGGGTTCTTCCGGTTCCGACGCCCAGGAGGGGTCACCGCACCAGTCCGCACATCAGGATTTCCCATCGGTGATGACCATCGCGGCGGAGGCGCAGCCGGCCTTTGTTTCGCCCCTGTTGCCAGATATATGGCAGTGTGTGGAGCAGGCTTGGAATTTCGTCATTTTAGGGGCAAGGCCATTTGGCCTTCCCGTTCACATTTTATTTAAGGGCACAAAGGCCACATGACAGGGCACAAAGGCCGTTTGGTTAAATTACGCTGGTCAATCAACATGACTGAAAAGTGTAGCACTAACGTCAACACCAGTCGTTTTACAAATGGCTGAATAGCAATAGTGTTTCTTAAACGTATACGTTAAGTTCAGCCATAAACCACATAAGTCAGTCATGTATTATATCAAAACCGCTTAGCAAGAAAAATACTAGATTCAAAGGTGACAGCTATCTGCTAGCTTGTAGAAGCAACACTAGATGTAGACCCCTTGAAGGGAAGACGTTAGCGCTATCCAAACTAGCTAGCTATCGCTAGTTTTCATGACAGAATGTAACGAGTCGACTTTAAATAGGCTAATACAATGGTAATTACCATCAATAGTACTTTCTATAAACACGTAAATGTTAAGTCCTTTCAAATACTACCACATACTTCAGTTAAATCATATCAAAACAGCTTGGTCCGCTTGCTTACCTGTGCTTGTCTTGCTCCCGCGGCTGAGGAGGAGGCTGTCGGGCCCCTACAGGCATTTCTGACGGAACAAACACAGCAGAGCAATCGCAATCGGCCATGGCCGTCGTGGCCGTCGTGAAATTCCCACCCTGGTGTGGAGGCGACGTGGCGACAGCCACTGAGGACGAGGGCTCCAGTGACAGGTATGGCAGGTATCCTGAGGGTGCAGGGCCACTCGGACACGGTGTGTTCCGGCGTCCCCCCCCTTGATGAGAACCTGGCGGCCCATCTGATTCCGCAGGCAGCTGGATGGGCGGAGGGGAAAAAGCCTCTGCC